CCTTGTTTTGTTTTTGCCGCTGCCTCTTCCTAAGGAGCCATGGAGCATTGCCTGTTGGGCTGCTCACTGCAAGGTCAGCAGTTCTAATACACCAGTCGCATCTCTGTTCCAGTTCTAACACACCAGTCGCATCTCTGTTCCAGTAAAGAGTTGTGATAGCCTTTAAACACAGGGCCAGTTCTACTCTGTCCTATCGGGACACTATCAGTTGGCATCCACTGGTGGCAATGGGTTTTTTGCTTCCTACTGAGGGAGGGGCCCCTGGAAAGCACTGCATGCGTGGGAATGGCTTTCCATTGGTGCCTTGGGTCGCAGGTGAGGTGGTGAGCAACCGAAGGCCGGCATCAGCAGCTCAGGGTGCCGCTGATGGCTCAGGGGTACTCCCACCTCAGGAGACTGATGAGCTGGCTTGGCCTAATGAGAACTAGGGAGAGGAAGCCTGCAGAGTCTAGGCAGGCCCTGGAGGCAATGCGTCCCTATCCATATCAGAACCCGCTGGTGTACAGATTGGGAAATGCAGATTTCTTGACCTCACCACAGACCTGGTCACCTGGCTTCTGGGCCACTGGTTCAGCCCTGCCAGGGTTTCTGGGTGGCCTAGGCCTTGCGTCGCATGCCTGGCCCCATTTGGCACTTTTTATGCAGGACTTTCCTTGCAACTTCAGTGAAGTGCTTCTTCTACTGTAGTTCAGTTTTTTTAGTCCGATGCCACGTGTTTCTCTGGGAAAGAGAGCGTAAACCTTTCCTCAATTAAGCACTGCAAACACTACAGAATCCCCTTCTGGTCTACCTTCTGGCTTTTTATAGAAAGGAAAGAAGATGGAAGCAAGGCACAGAGAGACAGGTGCCCGGGCCAAGCAGGAGAGGAAAAGCGGGAAAGAGAAACAGATGTCTTCCCACCCACGCACACAGAAGAAGGCACATACAGACACAAATATCCCTCGAGAAAGAGGCGGTCCCACATTGACACCCTCTCTGAGCCCTTTAGGATTCTACCACTTCTAGTAACAGCATGTTAGCACTGTGCACGGTGGACCCAAGAGGTGACCTTCGTATCCATGCCCAGGCCCACACGTTCCAGAGGCCTGGGGCAGCAGTTCTGTGCATGTCAGCTCGGGGAGTGGGGGTGGGGAGGGTCTCAGAGCTCGACTGCAGCCTGTCCTTCCTGAGTGAGCACCGGTTTTATGCTCCCACCACAAAAACATGCTCCCAGAAGGTGTTTGCAACTTGACTTCTGGTCACCCAAGTTATCTCTACCCCACAGGTGAGGTTCTTTCTACCTGCGGGGCGACTTGCTGGGAATTCTGGGACACCATGAGTCATCCCTGCGTGTCTCTTTTGGGTAAGTCCAGGTTTACACGATTGTGGCTGCTGCTCTTTTTCCCCTTGGGCTCTTCTAAGGCTGAAGACACTTGCTGTGCCTCTGGTGTGATGGGTTCCCGAGATCCTCTGGCATTTGTCCGCCACAAGCTGTGGAGCCTGAGGAGATGTGGCTGCGATCCTTCCTGATTTCACTACTTGGAGGCACCAAGGGCTTCTAGTGCTGGGGGTGGGGGGTGGGGCGCTGCTCCTGCCCCTCGGCACAACCAGGAGTCGGGCTTGTGGAGGCTGCAGACTTGATGGGTCTGGTCTAGGCGGCCTGGCTCACAGCATGATGCCATGGGTGGCATGCAGGTCTTTCTGAGCCAGGAGCTCCCTTCCCCACCCAATATTGCTCTGGGGGCCCGGAGTTCAGAGGCCACCAAATGAGTCAACACTCCCAAGACATGGGTTGGTTTGGGTCTAGGTCAAATTCACCTTTTCCATTTCTATTTCAGCGTTTGTTCTCTTGAGTGCCAAAGTTTCCGATTCCATGTGGGACATGGGTTTTAAATCGATTGATCCCCATCTATCTTACTTGCCACTCAGGCGCCAGTGGGAAGCCATTCAGATGAAGCCTTTTGTGTCAGCTTGGGGTTTGTGTGATTCTTTTCCCTCTGTTGCAGCTGAACTCAGGCCAACATGGACCCCGAACTTCAGAACCCAGTTAAAAGGGAGACGGTTCTCCCCAGGAAACCTGGACAAAGGGGGTCCTTTGGCACACTATTTAGCTGAGCTTCCCTCCCACGGTTGTACAGCAGAGGGCTCCTCCCACAACTTGCTGCCCTTCCGCAGTTGGTGGGAGTGCGGCGCATTTGAGGACAGTGCTGCCTGCTGGGCCCTGCGCTGGATACTTATGTTTGTCCCCGGCCCGGCCCCCACGCTGTAAAGTGTGCTGCTTGGGAGGCCCAGCATGGGAATGCTCCTTCGTGGCCGGGACTGGTGAGGATTCTCTTCTGGCTGCACTGGGGGCTCTTGAGAAAGACCCTGGACCCTGGTGTCCCATTTGCATGGTCCAGGAGGGGTGCAGCGCAGCAGAGAGGGCGAGGAGTGGAGTGGGCAGCGCTCTAGAATTTACAGTTAATCCTGCCAGCTAAATAAAATCACTTGAGTCGGTCTTGCTAACTCGTGAATGGTGGGGATGATGTGGGGCTCTGTGGTGACCTGTTCATCGGCCTCCAACCACTCGTGTATGTCATTGGCTACCAGCCTGTTCCCTGGACACACCTGGCCTTGAGGCATTGCATGCTGCTTCTCTATTTGAGCACTGGACCTTGATGGCATTATCTCGCCTCTCGGATCCCTGGTTTCCATCTCTGCGGTGCAGGTGGCATTAACCACAGCCCACTGCCCTCGAGTCGCTTCCAGCTCCTAGCAACCCTCGAGGCCAGGGGAGAACTGCCCTCCCTCCTGGGCTTCCCTGGCTGAAGAAGACTGCTGGGTACAGCGTCCTCCCGTACCTACACCTGGTGCCTTTTAATTCCTGGCCTGTTGGTTAGCACACAAACACTTTACCACTGTGCCACCAGGGCGCCTTGGTAATTCAGTTATGTAAGGGGAGCCACGGGGGGCTCTGTGTGTGTTAGCACACTCCATTGAGTGCTCCCCTCTCCACATGGGTGGTAGTCAACCCAAAACTTGCTGAGTGCCCGACGCAGGCCAGGAGACGCTACTGGTGCCGGGGTGGGGGTGGGGTTGTGCTGGGGTGACCAAGAAAGTAAAGCCCCTGCCCTGGGAGGGCTGCCCTGTCTCCCACAGAGTGTTTGGTCAAGCTAGCACTTGTACCATAATTGGTCGGGAGTGGAGAGGGGACCCAACTTGGAGGCACTGGCATTGGACTTGAAGGGAAGGTATAGGGACTCTGCCCAGCAGTTCAGAGGTCCTGGGGGACATTGCCTTGGCACATCTGGGACTGACGGCCAGTGTGGCAGCCGAGGTGCCCAGGGTAGAATATGCGGTGGGTGAAGACCTTGTGTCTCTAGCCTGAGGACAGTGAGAAGAGATCCCTCGGGGGTTTCCTTCCCTCCCCTTCCCCTCCACTTGGCATCCAAACTCATGGTGGCTAGAATCAAACCTTTAAAAATGGATTGTGTACTAGCCACGTAAACGTTTGTATACATTTATTTTTTATTGGAAAGCAGAGCCACACTGGACAGCAGATGTCTTCTGGGGAGACCCCAACTGACCGAAGGGAGTCCCTGCCAGCACCATGCATTAGGGAGGTAGGGAGTTGGGGTGCATGCCAGCGATGCCCCAGTGTTTCAGGGGGCCTACCAGGTCAAGTAGGAGAGGGAGCACTGGCCTCCGATGCCCAGCTTCCATTTTCAACTTGGCCTCAGGCCAGCCCTTGTTGCTACTGACTAGATTTCTTGTCCAGCTTCTACTAAAATCTTTTAAAATCTTGTTCTTTTCTGATTGCTGAAGAAATGCACCCTGGTGACTGAATGGTCTTGACTCTCACCTCACAAGGTACCATTGGAATGTTGGAAACTCTTTGGAAAAAATATTGTTAAGCTGCCAGACTTTCCCCCCACCCTTAACTCTTAAGATAACCACACACACACCCAAAAAAGAAAGAAAAACTAACCCTTCACGGCTAGTTGGTTCCCGTTCATCACAACTTAATAGGACAGAGTAGAACTGCTCCTTAGTGTTTCTGAGACAGTCTTTACAAGGAACCCTGGTGGCATGGTGGTAGCACGCTGGCCTGCGATACAGGCAGGGCTTTCTACTCCTGTAAGCAGTCCCAGTCTCAGAACCCACAGGGGGTCACCATGAGTCAGCATTGACTAGGCGGCAGTGACTTTTGTTGGGTTAGTTTTTGAGGGAGGAGGTGGAAATCTTCACAGGAGCCAAAAGCCTCATCTTTATCCTGCTGCTCCTCATCCAGTAATATACTTAACTGCCGTCTCCCTTTTCCAAACCTTTGGTTTTCAGTCCGGAACATGTGAAGTGCCACGCTCTCCTTCGGAGCCTGCTAGATGTCACTCTTCAGTGCCCTGAGCCCCATCACCCTGTTTTCGTGACATTGAGGTGGCTTCTGTAACATTTCTTGAGTTGAATCTGTAGTTCAGTTTTGTTTTTTTAATGAAGGTTGACAATCTATGCCTTTAAACTGTTTGCATTCATTTCATTTTATATATATATGCTTGGGTTTAAATATGTCATCTTGCTATGTGTTTTCTATTTGTCCCATCTGGGTTTTTTTTCCTTTAGATATTGTCCTTTTAGGTGAATTATTTTTTTAATATAGCATTTTATCTCCCCTATCAAGTTATAGGGAGCCCTGATGGTGTAGTGGTCACACATTAGGCTGGTACCTACAAGGTTAGCCATTTGAAATCACCAGCCACTCTTGGGAAGAAAAATAGGGCTTTCTCCTCCTGTAGAGAGTTGACAGTCTCAGGAGCCCACAGGGCTCCTATAGAGTCGCTATGAGTTGGCATCAACTCAATGGCAGTGAGTTGTGTGTTTGTTTGTTTGTTTGTTTGGGGGGTATAATTAAGGAGCTCTCGTAGTATAGTGGGTTACAAGTTGGACCACTAGAGTAAGGTCAGAAGTTCAAAACGCCCTTAAAAGTTGGTCTCAGAAACCCACAGGGTCAATTCTTCCCTGTCCTCTAGGGTCACTGCAAGTCAGAATTGACTTGACAGTGAGAGTTTACGGGGTTAGTAGGGGTCCTGCTGATGTAGTGGGTTGATGGGTGAAACCCACCAGCTGCTCCAAGGGAAATGATACGCTGGCTGCTGCTGTAAAGATTGGCCACCCCAGAAACCCTAGAGAGCCATTCTACTCTAGCCCCCAGAGCCACCTTGAGTCAGAGTCCACTCCAGGGGACTAAAGTTTTCACTGAGTCATTAAGGAGTCCTGGTGGGTTAGGTACTGAGCTGCTAACCACAAACCCCCGATCTTGTCGCTCGGGGTCAGAATGACCTTGATGGCAGTGGGTGAGCAGTTAATCACATGCATCAGATGACTGGGCTCCTCCACCAGAATCTTGGGCTTTGGGAAGATTTTAAAAAGTCAATTTTCCCATTCTTTGCCCATTTCAAGCGTGGATCCCAGTTTTTATCTGACACCATTGCCCCTGAAGTACCTCCCTTAGTATTTCATGAGGCACAGTTTTTATAGCAGAAGTAGTCTCAGCATTTGTGTGTTGCAAGTGTGTATTTCACCTTCATAAAGAGCCCTGGTGACACTGTCAGGTAACTGTTGGGCTGCTAACCCCAAGGTTGGCAGTTCAAACTCAGAATCAACTAAAGGGCAGTGGCTTATTAGAGTATAGATTTGAAGGTAGATTTTTTGGTTTGTTTTTCCTTTTAGCAATTTGAAATGTGATGCTGTTTTCTTGGCTTGCACATTTTCGGAGAAGGGAAAAAAAACCAAATGTGTTAGCAGTTCTTACCTTTACTATTCTCTATGCTGTAAAGTTTTCTTTTATCACCGGTTTTCAGCCATCCACTTAGGATGCCTTTGCGAATGCGCCTTGGGTGCTACTGTGGTGTAGGGTTTGGGCTGGTCACCTGGCCTGATTGGCAATTCAGACCCACCAGCCACTGCTGGAGGCAGGTGAGGTTGGTTTTTCCAGGGAAGATTTACAGTCTAAGCAGCAGTTCCAGTCTGGCTTAACTCCATGACGTGTGTGTGTGCGCGCACGCGCGCGTGTGTGTGTGCGCGCCTTAATCTTGCTAGGGATTGTTTGGGGATTTTTGATTGTATGTTTATAGTGTCCAACTAATTTTGGGAAACGTTATCATCCACTATGTCTTCAGCTCCATTTTTCTGTCCCCTTCAACCATTCCTTACTTTCCCCAAGTCCAACTGTATATACAAGAGGACTTTTAAAAGTTCCCAGAAACATGGAGTTCAAAAGATAAAGGGATTTCCCCGACAAACTTTTTAGAGCCGCCTTTGTATGGTAAACCATTTACAATGATCATAACCAAGGTCTCAGTGATGCTGTTTGTATTATTGAAAATGTTTTCTCTCCACTTCATTTTGGGAGAGTTTCTATTGTATTCAGATTCTCCTGTGATGTCTAATCTCTCATCAACAACCAGTACCCTCTTCCTTTCAGATATTAAATGTTCTTAACCTCTAGAAGTTCCGCTTGGTTTTTATTATTTTTCATTTCTCTCAATGCTTTTGTTTTTCTTAAAATACTTACAGCTCAGTGATCTGGCCCGTTAACCTTTGTTGTTAGTTCTAGCAGCGGGCACTTCGGGATCTGTGTGTCTGTTGGCTGGTTTTTCTCCTTGTCCAGGAGTCCCATTTTCCGGCTACCTGGCACATCAGTATTCTTTGGTGGGGCGTTGGGCTTGGTGCATGTCATGCTGCTGAAGGCCTGGATTTTTGTGCCTCCGTTGGAGCGTGTTAGACTCTGGGGAGCAGTGATCTGTGGATCTGTATGAACCTAGGAGGCCATGGTTAAGGTTTCCTACCACATAGCTTGTGCGCCATTGGCTCCGTAGATGCATAAACCCTACAGCTGAGGCATAAGACCTCGGGGCTGTCTATGGAATGCTCTACGTGATCATTCTGCTCTGCCCATCTGTTTGGACAGAGCATCATGAATCTCACAGCAAGGTCTTTCAGTTCTCTGGGTTTTGTAGTCCTTGAACTGGTGTGCAAATGCTATTTTGTCCTTTAATTAGAAATTGAATTAAAGTGACCTGCCCTAAGGACAGTGGCCACTGTGTTCCTGTTCCTTTCATGCATGTCTCAGTTATGATCTTGTAAGACTTCATCTGCTCTGAGACTTGGAAGGAATGTGTACATACTGTTCCGAGGTTTTATTTGGTAACTTAGTTTTGAGGGTCTTCTTTGAAGCCTGTTTTCCCAGTTGTAAGCTCTTGGGTTGGCTTCTCATTTTGTCCACTCCGTGTTCTCTGCAGATTCCTCCCTGTCCCTGGCGGAGTGCTTTAGTGGCGTGTGGCCTGGTTCTGTGTGCCACTCTCCCCTCCTGTGGCCTGACCAAGTTGCGAAGACACGCTCCTTTCCTGGTTGTTTCTTCTGTGTTGGTCTTGAGTTGCTTGCGGCTTGAAAGAGGACTGTCTCGAGTCAGTCCCCCACACCTGGTGGCCCTCCAGTGTCTCCCTGTGCCTCACCTGCCTTCAGGAACACTCGGGCTGGTCACTGAGTGAGAAGATTCAACAAGATGTGAAAAGGAGTCCCCATCTCATCCCGGGGAACCCAGAAACAGGGCTGCTGTCACTCATGGCTCTTTTCACTCTCCTTAGCGCCGCCTGCTCCCCAAGGTCTTGCCCTTCCCCAGGACGGAGCCCCGGGAGACCAGGTCCTGGCAGTCCCTCTTGAGATGTTGGCGGCCCAGGTGAGCTTCCCTCTGATCCCAGCATGACTTTCAGCAGGCCTGCCCCCCGCTGCTGCCTGCCCTCCCTCCCTCTGCTTCTCTCTGGAGTCTGCTAAGGAGTGGATGCCTGCTGGGCGTGTCCTGTTGGCCAGGTGGGGGAGTGGCGTCTCAGGCTACGAAAGCGATCTTGGAGCCAAGGGCCTCTGGAAAGGCAGTGGGAGGCCAGAGCTGCTGCCCAGGTCTCCTGGTGCTTGGTCAGGTTTGCTTTCTAGGACTTCCGGAGGTTGCTGTTAGCCGCGTGCTGGTGCCAGGCCCTTGCCTCTGGTGCTGGTGCTCCTGGCACTGCCCCTGCCTCTTTCTAGAAGTGAGGCAGGGACTGATTGTCCCTGGGAATTCTTTCAGGATCCAGTGACATTTGACGGTGTGGAGCAGTACATGACCAAAAGGGAGTGGTTGAGCCTGGACCCTGAGCAGAAGACACTGGACTACTTTGGAAACGTGACCTCTGTGGGTAAGGGTGGCTGGGAGTGAGTTGGGAGGCCACCCCCAGGGTAGGGTGTTGGGCTGACCCCCGACTCCTGATGGCAAGGAAAGATGCTGGTCTTCGGGAAGGAAAGACTGGCTCGCTGCTGTAGCTGAAACGAAGTGCAGCAGATGGCCATGCGATGCGAGGGCGGGGCCTCTTTTAGGGAGGGAACCTGGTTGTGGAGCATGACGTCACCACTGCCTGCCGATACATCCCATCTCTTTCTCCACAAGCAGGGGTTCCTGATTTGAACCCAGCCTTGGTGCCTCCCCAGGTGCAAGGACAAGTCTTGTTGGTCTCAGACCCATCTCTCATCACAGGGCAAGCTAAACATTCCGGTGAGTGGGGTGGTGGAGGGCACAGCTGAGGGCTACCTCAGTCCTGGAAGCCGTCTCAGAAGCGCTCCCAATTAGCTGGGGGTTGGTCAGCATGCCCCAGTGGCTGCCAGGCTCGGGGGTCTCATGGGCACCCCACTCACCCTCTTTGTAGACAGCACGTCTCGCCTTTGTCATTTCAGAAACCGTTTCCACCACTCAACGTGAGACGATGGGTGAGGATGCCCAGCTCCCCAAAACAGCATCCACCAGCTCCCCTGAGCTCAGACCAAATGGGGATGCTGCGGGGAGGGGAGGGAGCTCCCCAGAGCTGCGTATTGAGCACCTCTTTACCTGTAAAGAATGTGGGGCCACCTTCCGACTAAAGGTCCTCCTGGTCCAGCACCAGAGGATCCACAGTGAGGAAACGGGCTGGGAGTGCCGCGACTGCCGCAAGGTTTTCCGGGGCATGTCTGAGTTCAAGGCCCACCGTAAGAGCCATGTGACCCCTGAGCCCCCAAGGCCGGGTCCGAGCGGCCCCGCCCAGGAGGTGGTCCAGGAGAAGCGCGAGCAGGCGGAGAAGGAGGCCAAGCCCTTCCAGTGTGAGGAGTGTGGCAAGCGCTTCAAGAAGAACGCGGGCCTGAGCCAACACCTGCGTGTGCACACCCGAGAGAAGCCTCTGGAATGTCAGAAGTGTGGGCGACCGCTCAAGACCAGTGCCCCCGGGGCCCAGCAGCAGAAGCCACTGACCTGCCGGGCCTGCAGCCGGGCCTTGCAGGAGGACCAGCATGTGCCCCCTGGTCACCAGCCCTTCGACTGCGAGGACTGCGGCAAGTCCTTCAGCGGCGTTGGCGGGCTGGCCGAGCACCAGCGCGTCCACAGCGGTGCCAAGCCCTACGGCTGCCCGCATTGTGGCAAGCTCTTCCGCCGCAGCTCCGAGCTCACCAAGCACCGGCGCATCCACACCGGTGAAAAGCCCTATGCCTGCAGCCAGTGTGCCAAGACCTTCCGCCAGAGCTCCAGCCTCCTGGAGCACCAGCGCATCCACACCGGCGAGCGGCCCTACGTCTGCGGCGACTGTGCCAAGGCCTTCCGTGGGCCCTCCGACCTCATCAAGCACCGCCGCATCCACAGCGGATTGAAGCCCTACGAATGTGAGCGCTGCGGCAAGGCCTTCCGCCGCAGCTCAGGCCTAAGCCGCCACCGGCGCACCCACAGCGGTGCACGGCGCTGCGAGTGCCCCAAGTGCGGCCGCGTCTTCAAGCGGCGCTCGGCCCTGCAGAAGCACCAACCCGTGCACCGCGAGTAGAGGGCCACCCGGCCACCAAGGAGGAGACGAACTGTTTTGTAGTGCTTCTAGGTTTTCTTGTCAAGGGTTGAAACAGTTTCTACTGCCACCAGCAATTTCCAAGTGTCCATATTTGCCGTGACACCCATCCAAGAGCAGCGTTGACCATTGGATGTTCTTGTGACTCGTTCCAGGGATTGAGCTATGTGTACCTCCATCCACGCCAAAGAGAATGGGTTTATTTCGGTGTGGGGTGGTTGGTCACAGGTCATCTACTGCCTACGTGGGGCCACAAGTGGGGGAAAGTAGGGGTCCAGGCTGGGAGGTGTGACCGAGAGCAAAAGTAACCAGGTCTCGGCCTATGGAGACCCCGATCCAACAGGATCCTGTTTCCCAAAGAGAAGATTGCCCCACCTGTTCTTGGGTTTACTTGAATTTATTACCTGTTAAGGGGTGTAAATACAAAAGTCAAATGTCTTATACTACTTAATTTATTACTTTAGGTGGCTATATGCCGTGTAAATCACATGACCTAGAATATAATATATTTGTTTAGGAACACGCCCTTTTCACCCCTGTGCCCTTTCATGAGATCATCTGCCTCTAACGCCACCTGTGCATTTCTTTGCCCCACTGCCATGTTCCCCACTTGATCCAAAGCACATTGGGTTGGACTCCATGGGACTGACCCCAGCCCCGGTGGAGATGCCCGCTATCCCACTGGCTGCACCCCCACCCCCTCCACAGGCACACTTCACACTCAGACCATTGCTTGCTTGTATGGTTTGATTTTCTTCAATAGTTTGACAGTGTCAGCTCTGGTCGTCCCGCTTTGGTTACGTGACTTTAGGAGGCACTCCGCCTTCTTGTGTGTGTTTTCCGAAGCCAGGTCGATCTGGCACACCCCTCTGCAGATCCCCAACTTGCTTTGATGAGGTGGTTTGGGGCCCAGTGCGGCTCATGCAGCACTTTGTGGTTCCAAATGGACTCAACTGTGGCAGCTCCTTCCTGAGAAGAGTTGGGGAGCCGGTGTCTCTCACCCCGTCAGGCCACTGTGGGGCTCTTCGCCCTCCGTTTGCTCCTCTGTCATGTGGTGTGGCCCCACGAGCACCTGGCTGGGAGATAGCGTGCAGTCACAGTCTGCCGTTGCCGCTAGTTCCCAAACCCCAGCCTCTCCAGTGAGGACTAAATCCCATTTCCATTGTCTTGCATGCAAATTGTCTGTTCATCTCCTCTGACCAAGTTACCTTGGGATATATTATTGACTTTATAGCGCAATTCTCTCTCTCTCTCTCTCTCTAATCGATGGTGGTGGTTCTTTTTCTCCATTTTTATTGCTTTGCTTTTTGTAACAGTTTGATGATGTTTCCGCTGTGATCCTTTAATGCCACTGTATTCCGGCATTTCATCTTTGTTGATTAAGCCATTACTTGAATCATTTCATCGCTGCAATCCTCGGATATGATGACGTTTTCCACTGGAATTTCCATTACAAATTCAAAAGTGGAAAGCCCTGCCCCCTTGAAGGGGAAGCAGCCCCATTGGGCTGGGTGGTGAAGGGGCGTGTTCCTCATCCGACATGTCAACTCCGTGTACGTGGTGGACATCACGAGATTGTCCAGCTTGACCACTCAGGCACTAGAAATTTCTACCACGGATTGGCCAGAACATTCTATGCCTGTTCTTCACACTTGCCCTGGCTGCCAGCTCCAGGGCCTGACCTCACTGAGGTCGATGGGGTGGTCTTGGCAGCAGCCAGCCATCTTGCCAGCTACTGGGAGCATTGCCAGTGCCTGGCGTTGATGTGGTAACTGGTTCAGCCAGGGCCCACCCAAGAGATCTCTGCAGATATGAGAAGACCCACCGGCCTGACACTGCCACGCAGGCCATCCCCTTCTCACAAGAGACTCCGAAACGAGAGAGGTCGGTCTGCTGGGGTTTGCTTGCTTCAGGCAACTAGGAGGCAGTTGACCCACATGTCTGGGCATAACTCCCGGTGAGGGGCCGTGCCCCCGTAGTGGCCTGTGTGTTACAGTGAGGCTGGCCACCTCCAGCAGCTGTGCCCCAAAGGGCAGGAGAGCAAGGGCTTGGAGCAAAGTCACGCCCTTTTTGTGGCCCTGAAGTCAAAAGTTGTCGCTGCCAGTGGCCTTATCTAGGGGTGACAGCTACAAGGGCTGGATGAGCTGCCACCCAGCCCACAGGAGGCCTGGTAAGAAACCAGGCCTTTCCACAGGCCACAAAGGCTGAGGTGGAACTTACCATTTGGCCCATCTTAGGTGGGCTTCTCGAAGGGCCCCGATCCTGGGAAGCAAGGTCTGCCATCACCCACCGTGACCTTGGCCCCTGGCTCATGATAGAGCGTTTCCTTTCTCTCTGGGCCCTAGTTCTTGCCTTCGCTTTGAAACTGTCTAAAGTCACTCATTTTCCAATCTGGTTTCTCTCTTTCAAGCTGTTGTGTGTTGTGTACGAATGTGGCCATGGGAGGGCGGAAGAGCGTGCCTGCCTGCCTTGCCCTTCTGTTGGCCTGTGTGGTGCGACTTCACTCCTCTGACCTGCCTTCCTTTGCCTTCTCCCATCTGGGCTTCTAGAATCGTCACCAGCCCTCTCTCCAAGTTAACACTACAGACCGCGCGCATCTTCTCCATCACCGTTGATGGAATGGCTTTTCGTGGTGCTCGCTGGTGAAGTCTGCTCTGTCCAAACGCAGTCTCTGTGTTGTCACTTTGTCATGTCGCTTTGCGGAGTTCTTTTTGACCCTGGCCCTCGAGGGGTGGGTTCCTCGAGGTCTTGAGGTGTCCAGCGAGGCCGGGTACGGACTGTGACACAGCGTACTTGTGTGTGTGCTTGCCTATGCATTTGTGTATCTACCTCATTTCTTTTCTCCTCCTGACCACGTGTCCTCCTGACAAGGACGACGACGAGCAGTTCAGGGGCAGCAGCGCTGGCTCCTGTTCCAAGTTGATCTTTTTCTTAACCAGATTAAGGAAGAAACCCTCCGTTGCTTTTATTAGAGTTTTGAATACTTGTTGAACTTTTCAAAAGGATGTACTTGTTTACCATTTTTGCTGCTTACTACAGATTAACTCTGTTGGTTAGTTGTGTTATACCTGTCCTTGCATTTCTGGAATAATCCCCACCCGACCTCAATGGGCATCTTTCTCCTGTTTGCTTGATTTGGACTCAGAAGGCATGGCGCCTGCCCTGCCCGTGGCCCTGTGGCCATGTGTGCCACTGGATGCCCTATTCCTGCCCTGCCCTGCCCTACCCCCCAAGCCATGGTAATTCAACCGCACCCCAACCCTCAACCTGAGGACAGCGACCTACCAGCAGATCGACCTGCCTCTGGGAGTGAGGAGCTGGCCTTTCAACGGAGAGAGTCACTCTGCCCACAGGGGCAGCCTGGCCAATAAGATCTTTGTGTTCTTTGGGCCCCTGTGTCCTTCCCAGCCACCGTAGTGGCCAGCAGCAGCGAGTCTGCTTCTCAAGCCAGAGTTGCTTGACTGTTCCTAGCCGAAGTGCCCTGACGGGCCACCTGTTTAAAGGGGATTGGGCGGGAGGGGGGGGGGGGTTCTGTTGGCTCTCTTGGTGAGTTTAGCCACTCCGTTTATGTGGGGCCCCATCCTATATTTGAAACACCCCCCCTCCATTTTGGAAATGTCTTTTCCTTCTCAACAGCCGCCTGCCCACATGTGGCACTCTTCGGGCTTTGTGGATTTTTGTTGCTGTTGACCTACTCTCTGGTAACACCCACCTTTCCCCCCTGATCTTGTTAACTTGTCTGATGGCACTCACTGTACCCAGCCTCGCACTAGAGCTGTTTGTGGGCTTGGCTTCTCCCCTTCCCGTCCCTTAGATTGTGAGCTCTTAGAGACAGGGCAACCCAACTACTCCCTTTCCAGGTCTAGCGCAGTGCCTTGCATCAAGTAGTTCAATAAATATCTGTTCTGGACTTGCGTGCTATCAGCTTGTTTCTTTCCGACTTCGTTCATGGGGTCACCCTGTCAGCCATTCAGTGTGCCTGCAGAACCAGGACAGGTGGCTTCTCTGTTGGGAGTCAGGGTCGGTCCCTCTCCATAGCCTGTGGCGAGCCCTCTTGCAGCCAGTCTTCAGTAAAGGCAGAGGAGGGAGTGTGAACCCCTGGGTTCTGCCAAGTGGGCTCTAGGTTCACTGCTTGGGCCTTGAGGGCTGGGATGGGAGGCGCCATCGGGACCTCTCAGGAGGAAGATAACAGTCCCCAAGGAGCACAAGTCTCCCAGGTTCCCATCCTCAAACCTCAAATTGTGTGCTCTGCCAATCTCCCCACCCATTGGCCTCTTCCAGCCCCCTCCCAACCCTGTGCTTACAAACCGTTTGCTCCCCTAGTTCCGGATGTTAGGAATCCGACCTCTGCCTATAGTCTCACCTCCCCTTAAGTGTTCAGTGAGCTTGCTGGCAGTGGGTGCGGGGCTCAGGCTACCTGGGGCCTTTCTTCTCCAGGATCCTGAGGATGTCCCCTTCCGCCTTCCTCATACCCCTGCCTTCCTAGGCCCTATACCTGACACCCCCTGTTGTGGTTCAATTACCATATATATGCGAGTATAAGCCCACCCAAAATATCAGCCAAAACACCCAATTTTACCACAAAAACTGCAGTAAAAATGGGCTGGGGAAAAAATGTGTTGGATACTGCTTGTACACGAGTATAACCATGTCTGTGGTTCTGCCATTTGGGAAATGGCTGTCTTTGTTAGGTTAATGTGGCCACAGTAGTGTGGGGTGGGTTGTTTTCTTGAGATATAGAGTAAAACAGTATTAAGGGAGAGAAACAGATGGGGGAGGAGAGGTGCCAAGACACACAGAACTCCAAGGAATGTGGGCCCTGCGGATGTGGAAAGGGAGAGCAGGTCCTTCCTTGCGAAGCCTTCAGTCCCCAGCTCCAGCCTCACTCACCCCCACTCCAGCCAGCCAGCCCACAGAGAGGGGTTGGTGGGGAAATGAAAGCTTGCTTGGGCACTCAGCAAATTGACCCAGGCCAGTGAGTGTGGGACTGGCCCAAGAGGACTGCCTACTGGGTGAGGGCTGAGTCTGCCCTTGTGTTCATCTTGAACTTGACTGTTTCCATGAACTCCAGGTCATTCTTAAACCAGGACTGTGAACTGCTTGATTTCCTGTTCCTGATTTACACCTTCACCCAACCGTTTGGGGGAAGACCAATGCAGGAACACAAGGAGGGACTTTGGATTCATGCATATCCCTGTTAAGACAGTGATGCAGTGTGTACAAGTGCATAGTAAGAATCATGATCAGACAGCCAACAAACTGTGCACCCTGGCCTTTATTTAACAAGTTTCTATTTGCAAAGCACCTGCTTTGTACAGGCTCAGGCAATGCAGAACAATTGCCATGGTCCTTGCCCTCAGGGACATGAGCACCAGAGGCATGTAGCCAAAATGTCACCACAATTGGGGACCATGTGTGCATTCCCCAAGCTGTACTGAAGTGTTAACAAAACCAAAACAGGCCTAGACCAACACCCCAACCAACCTCCACACTGCCATGCAAGGAGGTCTGTACAGAAAGGGCTCTGAAGTGTTCAAAGCTTAAGGAATGCCCTCCTCCCCACTTAGCTTATCCATCTTGGGGTGTGTCCCCAGTTACTACCGCACCATTGTCCAGCCTGCAAACTCAGGCTTTTACTTTTCCTGTGCATCCCTTCTCTGAGACCCTCCTACACACCCCCCAAGCCCCAGGTCAGCCCCTGCCCTACCCTTGCACCAGAAAAAGGGCTTTCTGTCTTCCCTCAGCTGGGAAGGGACAGGTGCTCCCTCAGTCTGGCCTATCCCCTCCCTTCTGCCAGAGCGAGGCGCTGGCGATGATGGAGCAGCTGACCCACTGGCTTTGGGAAGACCCGTCGGGGCTGGGGAGACCGCAGCTACCGGGGGGCCCCAGAGCCGAGCCTCTGGCAGTACCCATGATGCTGCTCTGCCTGGTGGAGCAGTTGTCAGAGGCCGATGCCAAGCTGGCCGCCAGATACGTGCAGCTGGGGGACTGGTGTGCCCATCGGACGCTACCCCACATCCAGGTGGGGGCCATCGCGGCTCCTCCCCCACTTGCCTGGCACCCTCTCCGTCTGCTGCACCCTATTGGCACCCAGCCCATTGATAAGGGGCCTGTATGGCTTCTCAGGGGCTCCAGGCCCTACTCTCAACTCTGCAGGCACTACCACCCACTTGCAATCTCCAACCAGGACACCCTACTGCCACCACCTCAGCACTCAGCTTATGGTTGTTCCACAGGGTCAGACCTGGAGAGCAATTTCTCCCAGCCCCTTGGAGGGGCCCTCTCAAGTCTGCCACCTTCCCGTCGCCCACCCAGAGGCTGCTCACCAAACCCCACCATCGGCTGCTTTTCACCGAAAGACCCTGGCAGCTTGCTCAAGGCAGAGTGGCCTGCACATCGCTGCCACTGGTGACAAGGAGCCCCTGAATGGGTTCTGTGCAGGAACCTCAAAACAGGCTGTTCAACTTCCATCCTCGATTTCTGAGTTTCAATTACACGCTTAAAGCAGGACTATAATTGAATATGGAGATCTTGAAGCAAATAATATGGATGTGATTCAGGTCCCATTTCACCACATGTTCTGGCCCCTTCCGTTTTCCAGAGTCCCTTCTAGTTACCTCATCAGGGATGCCCGACAACCTCAGGCATAGATGCTCCTGCCTGCTAGACAGTTTTGTCCACCAGGGTGCCCTGCTGTGTTTATTCTGCAGCTGGCAGGCCTGGGAGGCACTTTGGAACCAATTCAGGTGAGTTGACCATGACCATGGAGGTGATACTGCCTGCCCTTAACAATGCCCAGCCATGACTCGGTGATTTAAAGAACATGGAACATTATTTCTCTCTAATGGACATCTGAGGTTTTGGCTTTAACCAGGAATGAAGTGCATTACAGTAGTAACTCCAGTAATAATGGTTTGTCACTGCATTAGAACATGATTTAGTATCGCTGTATATGTTTATTAAAAAGATGGACCCTTCTCGGGCGACGCAAAGTTCAATTGGCCTAACATAGTTGACAAAGATGTCCTGCTATGGTGAGTAGCACTTGGGGTCCTAAAGGCACTTCATTGGCCATCGAAGGCGGTGTCTCTCTGTCTGCACAAGAGAAGAGCGGTGGAAACAGTCCACTGGGCTAATGGTCCCTGGAAGCAGCCTCTCCAGCCCTGAGACCTGAGGGCCTGTGTGGTGCCCTGTGAAAAGGATCACAGGAGAAAGCCCTGAAGAGCGTGGGAGAAAAACTCGAAACCTGAAGTCATGAAAGAGATCAAGTTTACTGATTAGATAGAACGATGGCTCTCGGCCAACCTTCGGGTCTGAAATGGAACTCTCCTGCAGGTCTCGATTTTCAACCAAACAATAGAGAGAACCATGAGGAAAATTAATAACACTAGGGAGGTACACATGCCTTTGAATCATCCACCATTTGAGATGAAAAAGACAGTATTTCCCCAAGGGCCAAGTGCTGAAAGGTTAGGGCAGGAGGGGGCTGGAAACAGGAAACCCAGGGAGGAAGTGGGATGAGTGAGGTTACATTGTGGGAATAGCAATCGATGACATGAAATGTCTGATTATCTGTCCTGTACACTTCCACACAATTCTTGATAAGTTTTTTAAAAAGAAAGATTGACCTGCAGAGTGCGTGGAGCTGTTTAATTCCAATTTTGGTATCAGAGTTCTTCTACAACTCAGTGGCATCAAGGCCGTTCCCACTCAGCAACCCTCCAGGACAAGGTAGAACTGCTCCCGTGGGTTTCTGAGATGGTAACACTTTACAGCAGTAGAAAGCTTTTTTCTCCTGCAGAGCGGCTGATGGTTTTGAACTGCTGACCTTGTGGTTAGCAGCTCAACACGTATCCCAGTATGCAACCAGGGCTCTTACAGAGTTTTACTAGCCTCATATAAAACTGTTTAGATGCTTCTCATCTTTCCAATTCACACACAGTTTGATACAATATCAAATTCTCTATTTCGTTTCAGGTTTACTGGAATTTCACTGTGAAAAACCACCTGAATCTGGGGGCATCTTTAAGGATAGACCTTTCACTACCTATGTTGTAAAACTTAAAATTCCATTTCAACCAACTTCAGCCCATGATTGTAGAAACTAGTTATTGCCAAGACTAAATGATTGAACAAAGGGAGGGGATATAAGCACCAAAGTAATATAAATGAAATAGACACACAGGGAGCTACATATAACCTCCTCTCTGGGGGACGGGCAGCAGAAGGATGGGTGAAGGGAGACGCCGGGCAGTGTAATATAAGATACAATAATAATTTATAAATTATCAAGGGCACATGGGGGAGAGGGGAGGAGGAAGGGAGGGGGAGGGGGAAAAAAGGAAAATGAGCTGATTCCGGGAACCCAAGAGGAAAGCGAATTTTGGGAATAATGAGGGCAACAAATGTATAGATGTGCTTTACACAATTGATCTATGTATTGTGACGAATTGTATGAGCCTCAATAAATTGATTTGGAAAAAAAAATAAAGAGCTTCATCTAAAAA